CACCGCCCTTGAGCTGGTCCTGGAGGAGGGGGTCGCTGGCTCCTCTCTTAAGAGGGTGTTCATTTTGAGGGTGTAGCCTGCATTGGAGCCAGGAGGTGATGACAAACGTGTGTGGAACCCAGCGTGCACATGCTGGGGAGCAGTGCACTGGGCGAGATAGGTGGAGAGGACCACAGGGCACAGAGCTTGTTGATGCTAGGCAGAGAACTTGGATTTGACCCGGGAGACCGTGGGGCACCATCAAGGCATCTTCAGAAGGAGAGTAACAGGATACATTTGCTTTGGGGGCAATAATTTTGGGAACAATGTCTTCAAGGATGCAGGAAGGATCCAAGGCATTCAGGAGAATTGATGGAGTAACCCAGGGGAGGTAGATGGTGCCTTGGTGGAGCAGGTGATGGTGGGAAGGCATCACACATCGGACTCCCAGGGGCTGACACCTAGTGCGTGCTCACTAAAGAATGAGTACGTGAATGGTAGCATGTATCTCCAATGACATTTCTTGGATCTATCAAAAATCTCAAACTGCATTTAATATACCTAAAGAATCTACGTAGAATTTCTCATTTTTTTCTTTTTTTTTTTTTTTTGGAGATGGAGTCTCGCTCTGTTGCCCAGGCTGGAGTGCAGTGGCCGAATCTCAGCTCACTGCAAGCTCTGCCTCCCGGGTTTATGCCATTCTCCTGCCTCAGCCTCCCAAGTAGATGGGACTACAGGCGCCCACCACCTCACCCGGCTAGTTTTCTGTATTTTTTAGTAGAGACAGGGTTTCACCGGGTTAGTCAGGATGGTCTCAATCTCCTGACCTCGTGATCCGCCCGTCTCAGCCTCCCAAAGTGCTGGGGTTACGGGCTTGAGCCACTGCGCCCGGTCTCATTTTTTTCTTTGTCATTTTTCAGATGTAGCTTTTTTTGGATACATATTTGTCATTATGCAGCATTTATTTATTTATTTTACTTTATAGAGACAAGGTCTTGCTCTTTTGCCCAGGCTGGAGTGCAGTGGCACGATCCCAGTTCAGTGGAGCCTCCAACTTCTAGGCTTAAGCCATCCTCTCACCTCAGCCTCCTGAGTAGCTAGGACTACAGGTGTATGTCACCATGCCCAGAAATGGGTTTTTTGTTTTTGTTTTTTTGTTTTGTTTTAATTTTTTTGTAGGCTCTTACTATGTTGCCCATGCAGGTCATGAACTCCTGGCCCCAGGCAATCCTCCTGCCTCAGCCTCCAAAAGTTCTGGGATTGCAAGCATGAGCCACCACACTCAGCACATTATTTAAAAGTTGGTGGATTTTTAAAGACTGATATACAATAGATGTATATATTTTCTGGATACACGTGATATTTTGATACATTTGTATACTGTGTAAAGATCAAATCAGTATAATTGGGATATCTATTGCCTTAAACAGGTATCTTTTCTTTATCTGGGGCAGCCAAATGATTCTCGTCTGGGTATTTGAAAATATCAAATAGATTTTTGTGAACTATAGTAACCCTACTGATTGCTCAAAGCCTAGGTCTCGTTTCTTCTGTCTGTCTGTCTGTACCCACGGATCAACTTCTGTGCATCTCCTTCTTTGCTTTGTTAAGTTGTTTCCACACTGGAATTCCTCAGCATGCTTCCTGAATGCCTTCTGCTGCAGAGAATCTTCTGCAGGGATCCACGCTTTTGTGGCTCTGTACTCTACTTTTACTTTAGGTTTCTGGTTGTTTATGTTGTAAAGAAATATTTCAATTTATGATTTTAAAAATATCGTTTGTGAAAGACCAATTCTTTTCACAGTTTTTAATGAAAGGATTATGCCTATAAGTAATATAGGGACCTCAGGGAATTGACTTCAGGAAATCATGAATTTGCTCTTTATTATGTTGTGTAATAAAACACTTTTATATTCTCCCTATAATCGTTTCTTGAATATCTTAACAGTACATTGTCAGGTGTTTTCTTCTGAACAGGTGAAACTGTGTTATATGTGCCATGGTGAAATGTAGAGATTTCTGTAGCATTCGACAAAGAACTGTCTGCCTAAGGCTGCAGTTCTCAGCATGGGCATACAGAAGGCTCAGTAGGGAGGCTGGTTATACATCTGGAGTTCTCGTCTCATCAGACTCACCAGAGGCCTAGGAACGTGGATCTCAAGTGCCCCAAGGGATTCTGATGTGTTTGAGAATGCTGCTTTGGGAATACCAGCAGTAACACTCAGAGAACATTGGCATAACCGGGAGGTCAGAGTGTGAGTGCACTGGAAAATATGGATGTAGTTGGGGTCTTGCAGTATGAGAGGTTAATCCAGAGTTGAAATCGAGGATTCCTCAGTTCTCTAACAGAAGCACCTATGATCAGGCCAATGAGCTTCACGGAATAGCTCCATCCTTCTGTATGATCAACTTGAGCATCACCCATACCCATATACGAGAAGACCCATCTTTTTTTTTTTCTGTTTCAAATTATTATTTTTTTTATTATACTTTAAGTTCTAGGGTACATGTGCACAACGTGCAAGTTTGTTACATATGTATACATGTGCCATGTTGGTTTGCTGCACCCATCAACTTGTCATTTACATTAGGTATCTCTCCTAATGCTGTCAGTCCCGCAGTCCCCCACCCCGACAGGCCCCAGTATGTGATGTTCCCTGCCCCGTGTCCAGGTGTTCTCATTGTTCAGTTCCCACCTATGAGTGAGAACATGCAGTGTTTGGTTTTCTGTCCTTGCGATAGTTTGCTCAGAATGATGGTTTCCAGCTTCATCCATATCGCTACAAAGGACACGAACTCATCCTTTTTCATGGCTGCATAGTGTTCCATAGTGTATATGTACCACATTTTCTTAATCCAGTCTATCATTGATGGTCATATGGGTTGGTTCCAAGTCTTCGCTATTGTGAATAGTGCCTCAATAAACATACGTGTGCATGTGTCTTTATAGCAGCATGATTTATAATCCTTTGGGTTTATACCCAGTAATGGATGGCTGGGTCAGATGGTATTTCTAGTTCTAGATCCTTGAGGAATCACCACACTGTCTTCCACAGTGGTTGAACTAGTTTACAGTCCCACCAACAGTGTAAAAGCGTTCCTATTTCTCCACATCCTCTCCAGCACCTGTTGTTTCCCGACTTTTTAATGATTGCCATTCTAACTGGCGTGAGATGGTATCTCATTGTGGTTTTGATTTGCGTTTCTCTGATGGCCAGTGATGGTGAGCATTTTTTCATGTGTCTGTTGGCTGCATAAATGTCAAGAAGACCCATCTTCTGATGACTCCGAATAAAGCCAATATTCTAAAATGTGGTGTGAATGAGGCTTAGACAGCATCCAATGGAGAGACCCCTTTGAGCTCTCCCCTCTGTGTTCCTGCTTTATGTATTTATTTAGACATCTATACCCCTACGTCATTCCAACAGTATTAACGGGAGAAGTTTTAACATGGCATCTCCATAATATTGTGTGCATAGTATGCATTTTCTCCAGGGAGAGAGTTAGTTACTTTCATCAGATTCTCAAAGAGGTTCAGAATCACAACAGAGTTATGAAGGACAGACTTGAGGGCACCGAGAGGACAGTTGAGCATGCTGTCTAAACTTCCGTGATCCTCAGTGAAGTACTGGTATATACTGGGGCATCGGAGAGGAGGAAGACACAGTGGTGCGTGTTTTCCGGTGTGTGCAACACTGCATGTGATGGTGGCTGAGCTCACTCCTCCTCTTAAGCGTGGGAACAGGTGATCAGAGAAGCTGCCCTGCCCTCAGATGTCTTATAGACAGAAACGTACCGCAACCCACAAAAGCAATTTTATAAGTGGGTAGCTTAGTGAGGCTTAGGGTGCGTAAGGACTGGGCAGGCTAAGGATGGAATGCTGACCTTGGAACTATAGGGTCAGAGAGTGGGTCATAAGTTGGAGAGAAAATGAAAATTCACAGTCTGGCGTAGCAGGGTTGGCAGCTCAATTTTCGACTTGGAGGAATTCTTTCATTCTACTTTATTGTAAAGGACATTATTCAAAAGCAGTCTATGACAACGCTGATGAAATCATTTCAAATAAAATGGATTCCCTTTATTCAGACCAGGAGGAGCCCTCATGCCTCCCCGTGCCCAGAGGGGACAGCAGCATGAGTGACACAGGGAGGCAGGAAGGAATGTCGCACTTGCTTTCTGCCATGCCACCTTTCTTCCTCCTTCCCATCCTATAATTGATTCTTTTCTTTTTTTTTTGAGATAGAGTTTTGCTCTTTGTCACCCAGGCTGGAGTGCAGTGGCAAGATCTTGGCTCACTGCAGCCTCCACCTCCCGGGCTCAAGCAATTCTCCCGCTTCAGCCTCCTGAATAGCTGGGAATTACAGGTGCCCGCCACCATGCCCGGCTAATTTTTGTATTTTTAGTAGAGACGGGGTTTCACCGTGTTGGCTAGGCTGGTCTGGAACTACTGACCTCAAGTGATCCACCCGCCTCTGCCTCCCAAAGTACTGGGATTGTAGGGCATGAGCCATCATGCCGGGGCCTGTAATTGGTTCTTCTGAAGGAAAGTCCATGCTCCTCATTTTCCTTGTTGGCAATGGCCCTGAGAGTTCTCATACAACCAACCATTATGATATAGGCAGGATGACCCAAACAGGGTATGATTTTATTTCAAGGAGGAACAATTACATGGACAGGGTTGTAGAAGTGTATTTGTGATATTACATAATTCATAGGTAATAGTCTTATTGTACATTGCTACAGAGGACTTATAAATAGATGATCCCAAGAGAGATACATTTGGTAATATATTAAATCCTGTCCCTTCCCTGATGGCCATCGTTCATAGAATTATAGACAAAAATTAGCAGCATTTGGAATAAAATATGAGAGGAAAGCTGCTGGAATCAGTAATGTGTGCAGAGGTGTGGCTAAAAGGTTACATACCATATTAACTTAGAGTAGTGTGATCATAAGATGATTTATATGCCAAAAAAGTATTTTATTTTAAAGACATAATCCATTGCACAAATGATTTTTAGTGTGAAGATCATTCACCGATGAAGAGAGACCCAGTTGGTGGATCCCCTTTGTCTGAATTCAGGAGATGTCCATTTTTGGAGCAAGAGCTAGCAAAGAAATACTCTTGTAATGTGGTAGGTTTGCACTCATGGGACGATTAACCTTTCATGCTGTGTGATGCTTAGGGCAGTAAATAGCTTCCTTTTGTGCCTGTGGTCATAGTTGTGTCACATGGAATAATGTTTGCCTTTGCCGGACATATGAGGACCAGCAACCTTCCCTGGCTTGATGGTGCTCATAAAGTTTAGGGTTCCTATCACATCCTACGGCAAGGCTCCCCCTGGGACTGCCTCTTCCCCAAGACAAAGAAAGGAACAGGTACCTGGATTTTCTAGAAATTAGGGCTGGGGAATTATGGAGGGGGAAAATTGAAGTTTAGAAAAAAACATGTCAACATTTGTTGGCCTTTGTAGTGGTAGAATAAATCTGCAGGTATGAGTTATGACATTGAAATGAAAGCTACATGAACTATCAGCCTCTAAGGTCTGCATTCATTTATAGAAACAAACAAAAAAATATGCTATGGCCCAAGTGAAGAGCCCAGCTATTGTCATTTGAGAACTGCGACAAGAGCGGCCTCTGAGAGCTTCAGAAAAGTCTGTGAGGATCAGTTCATTTCTGAAATGGCCCACAAGCTGAAATAATTTTCCACATTCTTTCTAGATGGCCTTCCTTACTGATGAATACTGCAACTATTGTCGAGACATTTTACGAAACGTGAGGAACCAAGAACTTGAGAGGGTAGGGTTTTATCTATAAAATACAAGCATTTTTGACTCATTATTCATCATTTTTATTTGAAGAGACCCCATCAACAGATGTCCAGTGGTAGCCCACTGCACTGAAGTGCTTACATTCTATGCACCTATGTTGTAGTCATTGAGTTCTTGAAGGTGACATTGATACTCAGTGTAATCAGTTGGAAATTCTCCAAGGTGCTAATACAGGTAACTTTAGGCTCTAATACAAATTCAGCTATTTTTTAGATCCTAATTCCACTCATTTTGAATAAAGTATTAGTAATAAAATTCACCCAGGAATTTTCAATGGTGCTGAAGAGCCATTTTATTGATAAGCGCTAACTGAAGATGGAGTAGGACTTCGCAGCTGAGTGATCTGGCATGGGTATTGTCACGATTGGATTTTATCCTAGAATTGACTGTGGAAAACATGAATAAATCTTTTAGCTATTCTGAGTTTCATCATCTTCAGTGTGAGATGAAAATCCAAGGAAACAAGTGCACATTCAAATGAGAATTTTTTCCTGATGCTTTAGTATATTCTAAGCACTTCAACTTTGGGTGATAATGTTCATTCAGCACGATTGCGTTTACTACCTACTCGGCGTAAAGCATTCTAGTGAGGGAAAGACCAGGATGCCTTCAGGATGGCCCCTGTCCTGTTGATGCAATGTTACAAATATCCATCCACACTGGATATCTGACACATTCCTTTCCTTCTTCACTTACTCATCAAATACGTATCTAATTCCCACCCCGTGACCATTACCAGGACTAGGAAAGTATTCTCCATAAGGCTTGAGAAGTTAGTAGTCTGGTAATGAAAGGAGCAATGTTACCCAATAAATATGATGCAATGTGGAAAGTTCTAGAATAGCTGCATGATTAGACTATTCTGGGTGCCCAGAGAAGGCCAGGGAGTGCTTCCACAGCAGGCCACATTGCTGCTGACTCTAGTAGGAAAGGCAGAGGTGCAATAGACAGAAAATGGGGTAGGAGAGGGATTCCAGGTGGAACCCACAGTGCAGGTAAAGACAGCATGATGTTCACAGGCATGATGTGACAAAAAGGTCACTATGACTATATTATTTCTTTTCTTTTCTTTTCTTTTTTTTGAGACACAATCTTGCTCTGTTGCCCAGGCTGGAGTTCAGTGGTGCCATCTCGGCTCACTGTACCTCCACCTCCTGAGTTCAAGCGATTCTCCTGCCTCAGCCTCCCGAGTAGCTGGGACCTACAGGCGCCCACCACCATGCGGTGCGGCTAATTTTTTGTATTTTTAGTAGAGACGGGGTTTTACCATGCTGACCAGGCTGGTCTCAAACTCCTGACCTCACCTCGGCCTCCCAAAGTGCTGGGATTACAGCCGTAAGCCACTGCGCCCAGCCTAGATTTTATTATTTCTAAAGAAGAGAAGCCAGAGGGGAGGTGGGAAAGTAGGCTGATGCCAGAAAGGGCCTCGGATGCCCCAGGAAGAACTCTGACTTATTGAGAAAACAGTGGGGGAGCAGTGACAATAGGGCTTGGCTGTCGTGGAACAGAGAGGCAGCGAGGAGGTTTTGTCACAGTTGAGGTGAGAAGCGACAAGGGTCGGTTCTGAGGCAGTGACAGTGATATCAGAGAGAAACAGGGGCAGGTTAGAGAAATATTTCAGAGGATGGCGCAACAGGTTTGGTGACTGGGACGCGGGTAGTAAGGGGTGAGCAGAGGTAGGTCTGTGGTGGTGGCTCCACCCAGGCCCCCCTTCCCCAAAGCGCCATGCTCCAAGGTTCCCAACCTGAGAGAAAAGGGATTGCTACGCCCTGTGTTGTATTTTTTGGAGTCTCTTTGGAGAAGTCTTCTCTAGAATTCATGCCCTGATAACAGGATTTTAAATCGGGGCCTGTGGCCAAGTAATTCAGGAGTTGACCCTAACTTCCTTGACAACCTACGCATGGGGCCAGCGCCTTGTCTAGTGTCACTGGCAAGTCCTAGCACCAGGACCAGGGGAGATACAAGGTTGTGATGGCTCGCAGTATCTGAGCCTGTGGAAATCCCAAACAGGCAAGAGTCTCCATTGGCTGCAAAGCCGATGAGTCACCTGGTTCAAGAACGGAAACTGAAAAGTCAACATGGGAAAAAACAGAAAAGAGGAGCCGCCATTTTGATGCTCCACGAAGTTGTCCACATAAGTCTTTAGAGAAGGCTCCTGTGTAGAACCACACCAGTCCCCTTTTCCTTCCACAGTTGTTAGGCGACTTCTAACTTGATGGCAAGGAGGAGGTCTCGTAGATTAAGTACTATCACACCTCTCTCTCAGCTGAAAAATGATTGAGGCAGTCAGTCAGTCAGTCAATGAACATTTGTTCTCTCTCGGCTGTGCCCTGTGGCGCAGTCCTCATCCTAGTATAATCAGCTGGGGCCCCCTTGTGGTCAGAAACAGCTTCCCTTCTAGAAACTGCCTCAAGAAAATATTAATAATGTTCTACATTATCCCATCCAACTGGCAGGTGCTTTCAGATGGGTTGTTGGAAAGAATTCTATCAAAATACAGCTTGGAAAAGCTGAGAGGCCAAGCTTCACATGCACTGGAACAAAATTCATCCCATTGTCATCCGGGGCTAAGGAAGCATCTATGGGAGGGTTAGTCTTGCGAGGTGGAGAAAGAGTTTTGGCGATATGCTCTGTTACTTACCCCAGGTGGAAGACTTGCTTACTTCCTTCTGGAAGTCTCTGCAGCAAGACACAGTCGTGCTGATGTCATTGCCTGACGTGTGCCAGCTCTTTAAATGTTACGACGTCCAGCTGTACAAGGTAGGCGGACACGTGAGTCTCTAGGGTATATCCACTGCAGAAATTGCCGGCAAATGCTGGGTTTGGACCCACAGCTCCACCTCTCTGCAGTCCCCATGGTCCTCTCAGGAGTGAATAGTGGGGTGTGTGGACCAGGAGCCCTTTGAGCTCTGCCTGACACTCAGTTTTCGTTTGTGAATTACCTCGTGGAAACTAAAAACCAATGCACATAGTGACCTCTGGTTCCATACCAGTGAAGTCCGAATTGAGTCGAAGTTCTTTCTCTGGGAATTTCTGGAAAATAAGATATTCTAAAATGAATAATTGGAATAATTTTGTAATATGCATAACTGCCAGGGTTTTTGTTTTGTTTTGCTTTGCTTTGGTTGAAACTCTGTCTCTAAAGTGATTGTATTTGGAGGGTTGTATTTGCAGGGTCAGGTCTGTATCTTTTCTGGGTTAAAAATGTGTTCTCCTTCGGCGAGTCACAAGCCTTACCTTTTATTTTAGTTTTTTTTTTTTTTTTTTTTTTT